GACAGAGGATGTTGGAGATGGAGTTGTCAGAAAAGAGGAGAAATTGACCTCAGAGGAGATTAGTGGGTGTAGTAAAAGAGGACATGGAGATGGGTGGAGAAAAGAAGAGGAGGCAGATGATCAATGTGGCCCAAAGGGAACAGCTTGAAGAAGGAAAAAAAAAGTTTATTCATAGTGGCCCAAAGGGAACAGCTTGAAGAAGAAAAAAAAAAGTTTATTCATACCCTCCATGCACCTCATCATCTGTATCTTGTCTTTTATTCCAGAACTTCAGCTCCTGCAGGTCTGCCAACATCTTTGTCTCAGCGTGCACGTTATGCCACCTATTTTGACGTGGCAGTACTGCGCTGTCTGCTGCAGCCCCACTGGACAGAGGAGGGTGTTCACTGGGCATTGATATATTACCTCCAGCGCCTGAAGCAGATTCTGGAGGAGCGACCTGAACGTACCTCAGAACCTCTGGTCCTGCCGCTGCCACGTCCGCGTAGTAGCTCTATGGTTGCAGCTACACCCTCATTGGTCAATACACACAAGACCCAGGTAATGATGTGTTGTCAAATCACAAAACAGTGCCATTTTTCCAAATGTCATAAACTAAACTTTAAAAACAAATATTAAATTTTATATATATAATTTTATATTTATTGATAAATAAATATAAATAAAATGTTTTGATAAATTAAATACAAGATTAATAATATTGTAAATACCAATAAGTAGTGAACTAAGACACCCATCCATAAAAATAAGGAGTGTTTATTTTTGGATATTTAATAATCAGTTAAAAAGAAAATTACCTTTTTTCTATTTCGTTTCTCTGTTAAATGTTTGCAGGATATGAGCTTGAAATGCAACGAGGAGGAAAAATCTCTGAGTACAGAAACATTTGCAAAGGTTTCTCTGACTAATCTTCGTCGACAGGCCGTCCCTGATCTCTCCTCTGACCTGGGCTTAAACCTCTTCAAGAAGGTCAGAAACAGACTTCCAGTCAACTGTATTAGAATGTTTATGTCAAACTTATGTTATAAATGAACAACTTAGCTTTTGTTTTTTCAGTTCAAGAACAGGCGCGAGGACCGAGAGAGAAAGGGTTCCATCCCTTTCCACTACACAGGAAAAAAGCGTCAGCGCCGTATGGGGGTTCCTTTCCTTCTTCACGAGGATCACCTGGAAGTCTCGCCCACACGCAGCACCTTTTCTTTTGGTAGCTTCTCTGGTCTGGGCGATGATCGGCGAACTCTGGACCGTGGAGGCTGGCAGGCAACAATCATGGGTAGGCATTTTTGGAGATTAGTCATTTTTTCTCAGTGAGTCCTGGATTTGTGATCTGGTGTTTTATTTATTAAATTTTCACTAGGTAAATTCACACGGAGAGGAAGCACAGACACTGCTGCAGACGCTGACAGTCTGAGTGCCAAACACTCGCACTCACACCACTCTCTCCTCAGAGACATGCCTGACCACTCCAACAGTCACAGTGACAACACTGTCAAAGAGGGTAAGGAGGGGCATTTTATTTCTGCATTCAAAGCTTAAAGTAAAACTTTTCCCACACAAAGAAACACAGCAAAGAAAAGGAGAGACTCCTGCACTTAAGGGAGATTCTTTAACGGTCTCCAGGGATGGGGCTGAAACTGTTCTTTACTGATGGCTAGAAAATGTTTAGTGACGTTGAGAAAGGGCTTCATAAGTGTATTAACTACAGTTGCAAACAAAATATTTTTTTTTTTTAGAAATATAGCTCATTTTTACTCAGAGACCATCACATTTTCTCTGTTTTCCAAAGTGCGATCTCAGATCTCTACCATCACCATGGCAGCATTCAACACGACGGTGGCATCCTTTAATGTGGGTTATGCGGACTTCTTCACTGAGCACATGAAGAAACTCTGTAACCCTGTGACTGTCCCTGAGATGCCTGTGGAGCCGCTAGCCTGCGCCAACCTGCCACGCAGCCTCACAGACTCCTGCATCAACTACTCCTGTCTGGATGAAGGAGAGAACATCGAGGGCACAAATAATTTTGTGCTGAAAAATGGCATGCTGGACCTGACTGTGAGCAGATCTACTGATTTTAAGTTTTAAAACCAAGATGGCCAAATACAACTCATCCAGTTTGGACAGTTTTCAACATTAAAAAAAACATTGTCACATCTTTACATTTTTTTCCATTGCTTTATGTCACAGGCTGTTTTGAGAGCACTCTACGCTGTCCTCAGTCATGACATCAGCTCCAGGATCTGTGATGTTGCCCTTAACATCATCGACTGCCTGCTGCAGCTGGGCGTGGTCCCCGGCATGGGCAAAAAACTGTCCAAGCCTGATAACAAGGAAAACCAGGAAGCACGAGCCAAAGACCCAGGTGGTCAGAGCCTTGGAGTACAGGGTGGTGGAGCAGTACCTGGAGCAGGTGGAGGAGGGGGAGATGGAGGAGGAGGTGGCGGAAGTGGTGGTGGAAGTGGACAGGGGAGCAAGGATGATGTAAAGAATAACAAAGACAATGACAAAAAGGTTTGTTGAACCATATGTTAGTGTCTGATTATGTTTATTATACTGTTACAATTATAGGTTTGTTGAACCATATGTTAGTGTCTGGTTATGTTTATTGTACTGTTACAACTTATTATTATTATTGTTATTATTATAGAGATTAGCCAGATAAGTGACATTTACTGATCACATGAACAGTTAGACTATCTTGTCGCAACTGTCAATCAAGATGCACTAGCTTAGATATTTTTATATGCTGCATTTTATTTAATTTCTATTTATATGTTGTTTTAGATTTTGTGTAGTGTTTCTAATCACCTTTCATAAAACATTTTATCAGTCATTTTTTAAAATAAATTAATACACATTTCAGACGACCCCATTTCGAATGCAGGTCACTCTACGTGGGCTTGCGGCCCAAAGGATGAAAAACACTGCTGAAGACCTTTAAAATTTTTAAAAATATCTGCAGAATTTTGTGATCAGTGCTGTTAGGACAAATGATTACATTTTCTTTTTCTGTGTCACTCATTGGCCATAAACAGGAGGAAGGCTCCAGCCTTAGCACCCACCGTTTAGCGCTGACTATGCTGATAAAGATAGTAAAGTCGCTGGGCTGTGCCTACGGCTGTGGTGAGGGACACAGAGGTCTGTCAGGCGATCGCCTCAGGATGCAGGTCAGATTCTTCACTTGTACTTTTTTATCTCTTCATTCATTTTCTGTCTAGGCTTTTTTGCTGCATGAATAAGTTACATGAAAATGAAACCAATCCTTCAAGGGTACGGAGCTGCTTTATTAAGAAGCAGGACTATTTCAGTGTTGATCAATATTTCTAATATTAGATGAGGAATAATCTTTTCACAAAACAGTTCCAGTGACAAGTAACCAAGGAAAGCCAGAAATGTTTGATATTCCTGAGATTTATGCAAATGTTTTATTTCAGGCCCAGAACTGCTTGACAAACCTGTATAAGCTGGACAAGGTCCAGTTTCGCCAGACAATACGCGAGTATGTGAACAAAGACTCTCTCAATAACATTGTGGACTTCCTGCATGCACTGCTGGGCTTCTGCATGGAGCCCATTACTGACAGTAAGTTTAGTATGAGTGTGTGTGCGTGCGACGTGTGGCTGTGTTTGGGCACAAGTGGTTGTTTGAGTGAATGACATCGGCAAAAATGGATACAAATGCACTGACCCTGATAAACGGACAGGATGAAGGAGATTCCTTTTCTTCTTCTACCACAAACACAGTTGGATCAGATGAATTAGAGAAGAAAAAATCACGCCAAAACATATATATATAAAAAGCTCAAAGTCAAACTTAATAAAGTGAAAAAATAATTTCAAGTCAGTAGAAAATACAGCTTGGTCAAGATATTCAAAAAGGTGAGCCTAAAGCTCACTAGTTAAGCCTAAACAGTAAAAATTTCAAAATAAAAACTACAAAACAGCCTAATTTTAGCCTAAGAATGGCTTAAATATAGTTCCAGTTTATTTAAAAAAAATAAAATAACAATGATTAAAGTTTTTTTATAAACGGTGAACCATTTTTTTAAGTTATTTAAAATGTGACATAAGAGAGTTAGCAAAATGTAAGCTAAGATGATATGTAATATTTTTTCAGAAACAAGCTAAGGGTTAGATGGGTTGAATGTTTTTTAGGAATTAATTGTTTTTGTTAAGTTTTTCATGATAAAAATATGCAGGATTACACTTGAGATTCAAAATCTAACTTTTTGGAAATTAAATTTGCTTTTTTCATTTTACTTCAACTGATTATTTTGTTGGCAAAGCTCAGTTGTACTTCTGCTGTCTCACCTTTGCACTTTCACTTTGCATTCCAGCGTTTTCTCTGTTTATATATGTTTCTCCCCCTTTTTCTCCTCCCACTTGTCTGCTGCTTGTCCTTTTTGTCCCCCTCCTTCTTCCGCATCCATTCCTTCCCTCTTTGTCTTTCTTCCACCTTGATGAGGTGAATCCTTACCTTTGCTTGATCACTCATCCATTCTGTACACTTGCCAATCCAAAGCTTTGCTCATTGCAACCCTGCTCAAACGGCGGCTTGTATTGTTGAGCACTGAGACACAATGCACACGCCTATTCAGTTTTGTACACTGTGATTTATTTTGCACATTCCATCAGCGTAAGAATAACAGAAATTGGCAATGTACCGAACTGATGAGTGTTTTGAATCTGAAAGTGAACAGGGCACCTTGTGCAGTTTTTCTTGTGCGTGTTGACTTTATGTGTGTGTTTGTTTGTGTGTATGTGTCACCTCTATGCAGAGGTGGGGTGCCACGTCCTTTCTGACACCGCATACATGTGTATGTGCTGGCCTGATGTAAATCAATCTGTGCCCCGCCTCTTTTCTCTTGCAGAGTACGGCAGTGCAGGTGAGAGGTCCAGGAGGGCGAAAAAACGAAACATCGGTAGATACACATGATCAATAATCAATAATAATAATAAGATTCTATATACTATTAGGTGTGAGATGAATATACTCGCCTGATCCGACCCTTCCCTAGACACTTTCCATAGCTGCACCTCAAAAAGTGACAAAACTCGCCTGCAACTCCCAAATTCATACATGTTTGAATCGTTTTTATAGGGTTTATTTTGTTCGTTTTTTTTTTTTTTTTTAATCAACAAATTTAATTTAACTGGACCAAAAGTGAATCAATGTGTGGTATTTAGGGCAGGCCTTAGTCACTTGCATGTATTCCTTACACCTCTCCTAGAATCCTTTTTTGTTTGCTTCTCCCCTACATGCTTTATGACCTCTTTTGTTTGTCTTACAGCCCCCCTCCGACCCCTTTTCTCCCTCCCTTTCCCCCTGTTGTATCGATGGGCTCAGTGTTTTATATGCATAATGTGGTCAGCTGTCAATATTGTAATCTTTACCCACTGACTAAACCGTCCCCGGTGTGATCCGTGGTCTCTCCCGCCTGTTGCTTCCAGACAAGGCAGGCTTTGGGAATAACTTCACCACAGGGGACAACAAGTCTGTGGCCCAGAATATGGAGGCTGTGGTGGTAGGCTGCATGTTCAAGTCCCTGATTACCCGCTGTGCGTCCACCACGCACGAGCTGCACAGCCCTGAGAACCTGGTGAGTTGGAGCTGGGTAGCAGGAAGTTACAGTTGAATAATTAATGATTCATTTAGTTCTGGCTCTAAGTAAAGAAGAGCAATCACTCAAAGCTGCCCGTGGTAATGCTGTGGCATTAAAAATTAACGGGACGTTAGATGTGCTCAATCATACTCTATTAATAATGTCACACTCGGGAACAGTGGTTTGCAAATACTGGATCTGGACCCATAAATGGTCCATGCTAGTTAAACCAATTAAACCTATTAAAGACAAGTGCAAGATTATTTTCCAACTCCTGTCAGACAACTGCAACAGGTGACATAATATAGATTACAGGCAGACCATAGGCATGCCAAGATTTAGTAATTTCTACTGAAAACATCCAGGCATTAATAATATCCTGGAAATGTTGCTTTGTTCCCCTAACTCAAAACCAGATTGGCTAAAGAAACAGTCATTGCCATTCATTTTAAGCTAAAGAAAGTAAGCTCGAGACCCTTTTGGAAGGATTTAAACCATTCAGAGTTTCTATAAATTTAAATAAATATTTCGGACGGACCTGTGCGTTTAAAGCTTTTGATTAGACAGGCGTGACTTGTGTTGGTGGAGGATGATACATGTTCCAAAGGCAGAATCACAGGCCACCCACTGTCAAGCTGTGGCTACTGCCTAGTACTAACTCCCTCACACAATGCAGGCCCCCACAGTGTCTGGAAATAACTGCAAAATGATATTTGGAATATTCTTCCTCCTTCTGACGCACTTGTGTGTACACCAACCATGTGAATCACACGTTCATTTATATCACCAGTCAAATTCATGTTTCCCAGGGTCTTTACTGTGACATCCGCCAGCTGGTGCAGTTCATCAAGGAGGCTCATGGAAACGTGTTCCGCAGGGTGGCGCTGAGTGCACTCCTGGACAGTGCAGAGAAGGTCACCACCACCAAGAAACCGGAGGAGAAGGAAGAGGGCAAACAGACTGGACCAAAAAGGTACTGACCAGTCAGTGGCCCCTTGGATGGTCTCAAACTAATGAAATCATTATGCTTTCCATTTGGGTTAACTTTACCTGCACTGGTATGGAATAGGAAAGAATTTGTACCAGCTGTCAGGACCTTGCATGTTTACTGTAGGTCTTTTAACCTACACTTGGGCAGTTTAATGGAGTAGAAATGGAATATGCCTATGGAAGCCATGAGCTAACACAGGCTAGTGGTGTAACTGTTCCTGGGTTTTGTGTAAATCTTATGAATAATGGTTATACCAGGAAACCTATCTAGATAGATGTTTTTTTTTTTTAGCTAATTGCTTTTTGTGGGGACTGTAACAGGGCCACGCGCCATAGTGAATTTAAATAGAATCCTCCACACAGGGACAGGGATATGGGCTGGTAGCTTGACTAACACATAGCTCATAGCACGGGCTTGTAGAGTAGGCACTAGGCCAGGCATGCCCAAACTATTCCTCAAAGGGCCGTGTGGCTGCAGGTTTTTATTCCAACCAACCAAGAGCACATAGTTTGACCAATTAGCTGTCTGAAGACTGAGACCAGTTGATTAAACCTCTCAACTCAGGTGTGCTACTACTTGGTTGGAACAAAAACCTGCAGCCACAGCGGCCCTTTGTGGAACAGTTTGGGCACCCCTGCACTAGGCATAATGTGTGCTTCGCTTTATCTGCCTCTCTTCTTACCCTGATGTGCCCATCACTCTGGGACAGAGTGAATCTGGACTCATCAGACCACATGAGACCACATTGCTCCAGAGTCCAGTCTTTATGCTCCGTACCAAATTGATGCCTTTTTGTCCGATTAGCCTCACTTCAAGGGATTAGGATTCCTTGAGTTTTTTTTACATTGTAGGTGCAGAAATGCTCTTACTTTCACTGTGAAACACACTGCACACACAAAGTCAAAAAGTAAAAACAAACACTTTTAACTGTAAATTAATCAAATAGTCCACTTACAGACTTGATATGTAGTGACTGACCAGAGTTCTCCAGAGTTCCAGGGAATTCTGACCACAGAGTCTTAACAACACGCCACCTGATCAGGTTGTACAATGCGTAGATGAGTCCTCTCAAGTACAGCCTCCTTCAGGTTCAGCCGTCTCTGCCCCTTCCTGGTGGTCATTGCAGGTTGTCTAACTAAACTAAACCAGTTTGTCTTCTAGCCATAGTCTTGTACTTGTAGCCATGTACTTGTCAGAATCTTCAGTCTCCACTTCAACTCCTTCAGTCCAAACCCGTCTCCTTGTTGTTCTGTACAACCTGAAATCTATCTCTAGTTCCTTGAACTTTGTGGTAATCAGCTGAATTTGGTTCCTGTGGCATCAGACAGCAAGGACTTCCCTCACCAGACTCCACCATCGTTGTCCCTGATACACCAGATGATGGCTCTGTCATCTCTGAAGTTAAAGTGCAACAAATACACTTTTTTTCACACTGACATTTAATTTGGGATTTGCTGTGAACTGGATATCTGTTTTGTACACATTACAGAGTGCACGCAAATGCGGAGCAGTGCAGCAAATACAGTGCCAATGTGAAAATGGCACAAGTCTTGTACAAGTGTTTTTTGGCATTGAAAATATTTTAAGTGTAAGCTTCAAGCTTTCATCACAGCTTTTCTTAATTTCATTTATTTTTGTTGTGTTTGCATCTGTTTGTCTCACTTGAGTGACTGGAGTTTTGTTTTTATTTTTTTATGACATAAAAGGAGACCAGCTCATTTATTATCCAGCCCCTAGATTTATTTTATTTATTGTAATAAAAAATGATAGACATGAAAACCGCATTTTGTATTTGTATTGCATTATCCATGATACCTTTAAACATTTCAAGATAAGATGTAGTGTTCTTTTTCTTCTAGCCCTACTAGATTTCAAAAAGTGCTGCTGCCTAAAAACAGTGTGCTTCAAATGCTGTTAGCCTAGCAAGGCTAGACAGTGTAACTTTATGAGAAAAGCATTATGTCATTAAACAAATTAAATTGTTTCCTAATTACATTTATCTATACTAGAATAACAATTGATGACTAATGTTTTTGCCACTTTGAAATTAGGAAAATCTCAGAATTTGTTAAGATTAATCATATGGTCAAATATTAGTGACTTATTTTCATTAAATAGATACAACTTATAAAGAAACATGCTAAAAATGCTGATTTTGGACACAAATAGCTAAAGTTTAAGTTTTAATAAAATCCTTGCTTGCCTATTAAGGGATCTCACAGTTGAAATTCGGCCTTCAGTTGGTATTGTCTGGGTGTATGTGTGTGTGTGCAGGTCAGAGGCGGGTGTGTCCGGGGAGAAGGGTCAGGTGTCCAGTGCTGCAGATGAGTGTCGCAGCTACATCTCCAGCAGACCCCCCCAGACCCCCGAACAGTGAGTGTCCGCCTCATGTCCATTATACGGTAGCACCATCTGTGTTCAGCTCTGCCTCCATTCTTCTGCTCGATGATGAAAGCTTTTCTGTTGTTTCGTCTCCTTTGTTTTTTTTTTAACTGGTTCATTCTAAAGCACAATTAGTAAAATCTTACTCCCTTTCCTTCGTCTGTCTTACTCCACCAGTGAAGAACAAATCCCAGGGGCTCTTCTAGGAAGAAAGGATTTTTGGAGGAAAATGTTCAAGTCCCAGAGTGCTGCCAGTGACACTAGCAGCCAATCAGAGCAGGACACCTCGGAGTGCACCACTGCCCACTCAGGCACCACCACAGACAGACGGTCCAGGTCCAGGTCGCGTCGGATTTCGCTACGCAAAAAACTGAAGCTGCCAATTGGTTAGTTCTCAGCTCAAAATGTTTTATCTTGTCTGGATTAACCTTTTGTTTTACTTCTTTTTTACCACTTTTCTTTATTTAGGGCCTAATTTAAAAGAATTTGTCTAATATTTGTAAATGTCATTTGCTTTTTGTTTTGACTTTTTTACTTCTGACTTATGTTATCTTCTACCTCACCATCTCAATTTCAGCGTTTAACTTTAGCTTTAGCTAAAATTACAACATCTGTCTCTGTTGGTAATAGATTTATTACCAAATTGACCTTTCCTCCAAACATTTTTTGATATTAATAGATAGTATCTGTGTAATTAACTTTTCTCCTTCTTAAATAGATTTGTGGCTTTTTAACTTTTATTTTTGTCATAGATCTAAAAAAAAAAACAAACATTTTATTTGTTTTGTGTTTTATCAAAACAGAAGAGTCAATGTTTGTCCCATATCTGAATTCCCTTTACAGGAATTTTATCAGTTAAATATAATATATTGGATCAAATGAAACCTTATTTTCTAATTTGTCTTTTCCTAGTTATGATATCACAGCTGTTTCTTTATTTTTTACTATTAAATCTGGTCCATGTGTTGTCATGCCCATGTCTCATTACATGATGTTGTTCCAAATGGTCCCCTGAAATAACCTTAGCTGTGATGCACTTTGTTCAAGTCAGGCCACTTCATATCTCTGTGTGTTCCTTTTTTGTGCCTCAGCATGTCGTCGGACCGTACGCCTACCAATCACTCTCTCTGTTTTACGTATGTGGATGTGGAACCATCAGCGTTCATTATTGATGTTGTGTCTGTTTGTGTTGGTCATGACTCCCAGGATGTTCAGTGTCCTTTTCTAACCTGCCATAGGTTCATTTGATTTCAGTTGGACTCTGAAACCTTGACTATAGAAAAGCTACAGAATTTAAACAGATATTTTCTATAACATAATATAATGTAATATGATGTTCATATTATCCTGGGTTTACAATGTCCTTGACCTATGGCGATTTGGGGTTACATCACAATCTCACATTTCCCACAAATGTATTAATAAAGTGTTGTTTCATCAATCTGACGTAGGGCGTTTGCAAGGTTAGGACACTTCATGTGAGAACTAGTTGGTGAACAGAGCAGAAAAATACATCGTCACATGGCACTATACGCTCAAGATGATATATATAATATAATATATTGCATATTGTTAGGATGGTAAAGGACAGAGATAGAAGAAAGAAAATTGAAAGCGTAACATGTCACTTTTGACCCCATGTTTATCCAATTTCACCACATATTTTCAACGTAAAAGTTCATTTAGTTAAGGTTCTTTTGGCATCCTCTTGCGAATAACATTTAATTGACTTTAAAGAAGTAAAATTTACCTCCCTAAGTGTTTGTGACTGTGAGTTACCAGTAAGTGAAGGCTCAGTTCTGTGTGCCAGTGAATGATGTGTGTGTGCATGCGTGCTTACATATTGTGCACAGTGTATTTTTGTATTTGAATTGTACCTACAGTGTTTTGTAACATTGGTTGCTCATGTCTTCAATATACATATTTACAGGCAACTGGCTGAAACGCTCCTCTCTGTCGGGCCTGACTGATGGTGTGGAGGACCTGCTGGACATCAGCTCAGTCGATCGTCTCTCCTTCATACGGCAGAGCTCTAAGGTAAGAAGCTGGAGTCTTATTGTGGCATTTCAAATGCCACAAATTTCATTTGTTGCACATCCATGTGCTCGTCTGTGTTTTAGGTTAAGTTCACCAGTGCTGTGAAGCTGACCGAAGGTGGCACTGCAGGGCCAGAGTACGGCAGGGACGAGGAGGAAAATTTCTTCAAGCGGCTCGGTAAATGGAGGTCTGGCAGGAGGAATCCATCCAAGCTTCACCACACAGAAGAGAAAGATGGTAGAGCGCCACCCACCCTTGGGTGCCCCGCGCCCACCCACGTCCCATTGTCCTGTTTTCTATTTCCGTCTTTCTGTCCTGGTGTCAGTTGTCCATGTGGTATGGTGTTGTGTCGTGTCTCACTTCGCAAGTTGTGGTATGTTTTTCTTTTGTCCTTTATCCTCCATTTCTGGACACCTACCAGTCACACTCCGAACCCATCAGTGGAGTGTCCACATTTTTTATCTAAATAAATATATTTTAGCAACATTGGAAAATGTTTTACTATTAATTACTTAGCTAAAGTATGTCTGTCTTGTATGCAGTCAAGAAGCTATTTCATTATATTGTAAACTATAGTTTAACAACCATCATTTGACCCCTTTTTTTGGCATATTTTTGGATAACCTTCTGATTTTTATACATTTAACCAAAGTTCAGTTATTTTATGTTTTTGCATTTTACCAATACTACAACTTTGCAGTTGCATTTGATACATTTTTGCAAATGTATTGGAGAAATCTTGGCCAGTTTTGCAATAATTTTGTCTCTTCAATTACTTTCACTACTTTTGCTATTAGCCATCTTTGTTAAATTTGTTAACTTTTGAATTACACATTTAAGCTATTTGTAGCCTAATATTTACTAAATGTGGGCAACTACTGCGCTGGATAATGTATTTTACCTCCCTTTAGTGTTTTTTTTAATTATAAATCAGTTTAGAATCCATTTTTTCCCTCATTTTCTTGAACAAATCCCTGTAACTCGTGTCTTGTCCTTGTCCTGTGTGTGTTCCCCTCTCTCCAATTCCAATTTGCGCATCCTTTGTTCCTGAACCACACTCTCTTTCCTCTTTTTGTCATTTAGCCTGTGGAAAAAGAGGAAATAAGTCCCATCTCTGATACCATCTTTCTGCCTAAAAGCATATTTCTGTGCTACGTCAAGCATGACAGTCTGTCAGTGCTCTCGTCTCTTCTGTGGTGACGTCTGGTGGTATTTTTCACTGCTTGAGTTTCCGGTGATAAAACAGAATGTTCAACACGCACATGGATGCACTTACACTTGTCATTTCAGAGGGATTTCTACATGAGGGAGGGATTCATATGTTTAAAAACCCAATTCTATAGAGTAAAAGAACATGTTTTACCAAAGCTATCTTATTAAACTTCTAGTATTATTCACTTGTACATTCATTCATTGGACAAAGAATGTGTTTTTACTGACAAAATTGATTATGTTTGTCAAAAAAAGAAAAGGTAAAAATGTGCAATGTTCTTTGTCCACTTTGGGAAAGGAGCTATAGATCAGACCTAGCACACTAAGGCCTGTCGGGGCATTATTTTCTATTGCATTTATGAAAATATGCACCAACAAGTTGGTATGATTTATCTCAACGGACTTGGAAAAAGTGCATAGTTACAAATATCATGTAAATGTTCACATTTAAGTTCAATAACCCCTGAAAATCCAAGTGTAACCTTGTGGCTGCTTCTGTCTCCCACTTAGCTTCAAGTTTCAGTGGCTCTCCTGTGCTTTTGTAAATGTCCTGGATGGTGACACATCATGTGATATTAAATGTGATCTACTGTGGTACAGTGAGCAAATGAAAAGAACTAGAAAAATTATCCTTGTATTTCTTCCTGCTGTGTCCTCTTCCTCCTCCGTCATCTCTTCTTCCAGGTCCCCATGGTTTCCAGGAAAGGCTCGCAGCCAGTCAGGAGGCCATGAAGAACAAGAACGTGGTGAATCTGGGAGCCATACGTCAGGGTATGAAACGCTTCCAGTTCCTTCTGAACTGCTGTGAGCCAGGAACCATACCAGACGCCTCCATCCTGGCTGCAGCACTGGACCTGGTGCGTTTCATTCTGCTCACAGTGCATAAGAGTAAACATGTGGCTTTATGCTCTGCTTTTACCACAACCATGTTGGAAATTAACTAAGGCTTGTCCTTTTCCAAGATAAAAATGTATTTTAAGTAGGTTGTCTAGATTTATATAGAGTTCAGGGAAGGTTAAACACATTCACTATTTCTGTTTTTATTCATTTTGGATAAATTATGCAATTTTTTCTATTAGATTTAATTTAATTTTTTTCTGCTATTGTTATTCAGAAAAGAATCTGTAAAAATAACAAATGCAGCGTCCGGGATCACATTAAAAAAAAATTAAGCTCCTATTTATTTTTTCAGCATCAGACATTTTTTCAGATATATTTTCATTCAATTGTTGTAGTTGTTCTAGTTTGAATAACTTTTGACTTTTTCTGTACTAACTTTATCCCTTGGCCAACTCTTATCTAGTTTTGCTTTAACATGATTGCAATTTCTATTTTTTAGCTATATCAGTTGACTAAGAATGTGTCTAGATGCAATATTATGCTTTTGTCTATGTCTTGATGGGGAGTTTCCTTGTCCCCATCTTCATACCCAGGTACTTCAATTGATATTCTTAACTTAGCTGTAGCTACTAACTTAGTGTTTGGCCACATGGCCTGCATTTGTTAATCTTTAGCCATTTCCTTTGCTACTTTAGATTCAAAACCACCAATATGTTTATCTCACAGATCTTTTGTCAGGAATACAGAAGCCAAACCTAAAATATATTTTGAAATGTAAGGTAAAACGTTTATGGCAAAACACTTGCAGTTCTCTATGTTAAAGAGGCCTCACTTAACATCATCCGTCGAAGTTATTTTTTTTTGTTTTTACCTTTCCTTGTGCAAAGTCCTTCAGTTGTGCAAAGTAAAGATAAAAAAATCCTTTCTTGTCATTCTATAGGAAGCTCCAGTTGTGGCTCGAGCCTCCCTCTTTCTGGAGTGTGCTCGGTTTGTCCACCGATGTAACCGTGGCAACTGGCCTGAGTGGATGAAGGGCCACCACGTTAACATCACCAAGAAAGGTCTTTCAAGGGGCAGGTCACCTATAGTGGGTAACAAAAGGAATCAAAAACTCCAGTGGAACGCTGCCAAACATTTCTGCCAGTGGGGAGATGTGAGTTCAAGTTTTTGAAGATTATATTCAAGGTAATAGGAACGCTGAAAATGCTTTGCTTCTGCTGCAGTAATGAAAGTGTTTGGTTTTCTTTCATCTACCAAGGCTATTGGCACAAGGCTAAGCGAATTGTGTCACTCTGAAAGCGAGAGCCCGGCCAACATTCTGGGTTACATCTATGATGAAGACACCAAACGGAGAATGAGGAAAGAAGATGAGGAAGAGGACTATTTAGATGATAGTGAGTCCAAACACCATCTGCCCAATGATTACGTTGTTGGATTTAAATTTTGTTTTCTAATTTTTGAATATAAACTTCTGACCCTCTTGTTTAATTTTTCTTTCAGACACAGTCAATCCAACCAAATGTGGCTGCCCCTTTGCTTTGAAGATGGCTGCCTGTCAGCTCCTCCTAGAAATCACCACTTTCTTGAGAGAGACTTTTCCCTGCCTACCACGTCCGCGAACAGAGCCTCTTGTGGTCAGAAATGTAATCTGTAATGAAAAACAAAATAGATAAAGAGTGTGGCATGGTTTTCAGAGAACTGTTTTTTCACATCAGATGAAATCTAGGTACAGATGAAATGTTAGTGACACAAAAACTGAGCATTGACAAAGATAATGTTACTCGAGATCTATGTTTCAGTACATTATCTTTTAAATTTATTGACGAGTTAACTAGAGTTTTCATTGCGATGCTCAATGTAGGATCTCGACAGCTGCCGACTACGATTAGACCCAGAGCTCGGTCGTCACCGATATGAGAGGAAGATCAGCTTTGCAGGCATCCTGGATGATGAGGATGGACACGACTCTCTCAACAGCAGCAGCCACACGCTCAAGTCTGACACTACAGGTGAAGAGAAGAAGGTGCAGGAGAGTCAGGGTGAGACATCAAGTACTACACACTGCTGTGATTGCATAGTTTTTACATCTGGAATCTTGAAAAATGTTGTCCTCACTTTTGCCTTCCTCAGTACCTATAAGGAAAATTCGTATTGGAGGCTCCCGGCTGCTTCAAATCAAAGGGGCCCGCAGTTTTAGGGTGAAAAAAGGTGGCTCCCTGTCGTCCATACGCCGGGCAGGGAGCCTTAAAAGCACAAAGCTTTCCCGGCAGGACTCAGAGTCTGAGAATGAAGAGGGTTTGTTGTCACAGACACAAAGCAGGGACACCGTAACTGACATTGGTGAGTGGTGCAGGAAACATCTTTGCATGGAAGATAACTAAGTAGGAATACTCTGCTAATACTCTGCTGATGTCAGAGATAGATAGATAGATAGATAGATAGATCTGTAATACTTTCTCAGAGGGAATTAGGTTAGTAAGCTTTGTATTTTTGGTTTATATATATATATTTACATATATATATATATATATAGTAACTTATTTTGAAAATGATATTTTCAAGTAGAGTTCTAAAAAATGTTTGTAAAAAAACATTTTGTCTATTTAGCAAAGTTAACCAAACAGAATAGGTGCACAAATATAAGTGAACACAGCTAGACACTGGCCTGTACAGCTTGAAATTAGCTGAAACAGGACTCATAGTGAGCCAGAAAGAACTAAAGAATAGCTATTAACATTGCAAAAATACATGCAGGTGAATAAGCATAATTGAGGCAGCCCCAGGAACATCTTGGAGTTAGCCAAAAACACTACATATTTATGAGCCATACTAATAGGAAAAAGCTACAACACTCTAAATATAGTAACAAAAGCAAAATACTGTAGTTGGCCACAAATATAACAGAAGAGCTAAAGGATGAACAAAATAAAGCTATTAGCCAAACAAATCTGATACATGCAGTCAATGGTAATAAGCTGAGAGTTACCCAGGAAGGTTACACAACAGTGAGTTTGTTGACATTTAAGTCACTCCACAGATTAGGATAGAAAGCAAAAAAAGTTCAAATTTAAAATGCCTGTTTTGCTAATATTACAGTATATAAAGAAATATGTAGACTTTGATGTCAGTCTCACAACTGTTTTAATTAATTTTGTTATTGTTATGTTCCCTATATAGGCAGTCCCTTCAGTACCAGTGAGCCCAGCATAGAACCAGAGGGTCAAGGTTCAGGTGGCGCAGAGGAAAACTATCACCGCAACATGTCCTGGCTCCATGTACTGTCTTTATACATACTAAATATTGTAATGTACTGATCTCCAGAGTCTCCTTCTCATGTACTAACTTCCTTGGCTGTTTTTCCTGTCTTGGCTTAGATCATGATCCTGTTGTGCAACCAGCAGAGTTTCATCTGTACCCATGTCGACTTCTGCCACCCCCACTGCTACCAGCACCACAGCCGCTCCTGCGCCCGTCTGGTCCGTGCCATCAAGCTTGTTTACGGCGAGACAGTGGACAGCCTGCGGGAAGACAGTGCGTCCTTAGGGAACATTGGAGCACGTGCAAAGAAAAACAATGAGGTGGAATTTCATACACGAGTGTATCCTGTTCTCAGATTGATAGATAACACAAGTCAAGGAGTCGGTAATGGCAGATTCATGAGTGTTTGTGTCTTCAGTGTTCGGACAAGTCATGTCTGAGGACACCATCTATGAAGAGACGACCAACGGACCCCAACACAGAAGGAAAGAAAGACACAGGGATGCTCAAGTACATCCGCAACCAGGTAAAACCTGTTAATGTAGTTCTTAGATCTCAGGAAAAGATCAAAATAAATATAATT